ATGACAAGACACTCTATGATACAGATAAGGGCCTTCTTGGTGCCTGTTTCCAGATCGTGGCACGCCCCTCCCTTTTCCTTTCACTGGCAGGCAAATACTTGTTTCTTGTGACAGGCCTTTGGCCACTAACTGACTGTTGTGGCAGTGTCTTCTGAGGCTGAACATTGTACTTTGTGCATGTGTGCGTGCTTTGGAATGGTTTAAAGTGCTGTTTTTAATAGGGTTACTTATTTGTTTCTAAATATTTATAATTATTGTGTGTCTTTTAGTTGTCTGTTTTGATTTATGCTGTGAGCCACCTTGGGTCTTGCAATGGGAGAAAGGCAGGATATAAATAAAAAACATTGCCTTACCCTCCATGAACTTCTCTAATCATTTGAAGCCATCCAAGTTGCTGGCCATCACTGCCTCATGTTGGAGACAAATCCATAGTTCTACCACTATGTGCTGCGTGAAGAATTCCTTTCTTTTGCCTGCCCTGAATCTTCCAAAATTCAGTTTCATGAGATGTCCATGAGTTCTAGTGTTACGAAACACGAAGCAAAATCTTTCTCTACCCACTTTCGCCATACAATGCATAATTTTAAACAGTTCTATCATGCCACTTCTTACTTGCCTAAACTAAAAAGTCCAAAATGCTGCAACCTTTCTTCATAGTCACCCCATCCCCTTGATAATTTTGGTTGCCCTTTTCTGAACTTTCCCCATCTCTATGATATCCTTTTTGAGATGAAACAACCAGTATTCCAAATGCAGTCATCCCTCATATTTGTATAAGGGCATTGTGATATTGGCCATGTTATTTTCAATTCCTTTCCTAGTGATCCCTAGCAGCTGCCACACACTGGGTTGACATCTTCATCAAGCTATCCACCGAGACCCCAAGGTCTTGCTCCTGGTCATTCACTGCCAGTTCAAACCCCAAGAGTGTATGTGTAAAATTAAGGGTTTTGTGTGGTTTTTAAAAAATTGATTTTCTTTGCCATGACATGCATCAGTTCACATTTGTTTACATTGAATTGCATTTCCATTTTACCACCCATTCACTCAGTTCGGAGGGGTCATTTTTGAGCTCTTATCCATCCCTTTTTTGTTTTAAAGACTCTGAACCATTCAGTATCATCTGCAAACATGGCCACCTCACTGCTCACTCTAGATAGCTTATGATGAACAAATTAAAAAGCACAGGTCCCAATACCAGATCCTTGAGGAACTCCAATGCATTTTTCCCTCTGGGTGTAATTGGTCCTATTAAATGAAACTGCTTTGGATTAACTGCTTGGTTTCTCTCCAAGAACATTTGGCAGAGCCAGAAATGGATTCGTTCTGCTCTGCCAACGGTCTAGAATGGATTGTGGAGAAGCCTTGTATAGCTTGGGAACATCCGATAGTCAACCCAGTAGGCTTCATCTTGTACAGTACCAGACCCTGCAAATGTCCCTGTTTTCCAGGGACAGTCCCAGATTTACAGAAGCCATCTTGTTTCTGATTTGATCCAGGAATGTCCCACATTTCCTTAGGACGTCCCTATTTTCATTGGAGAAATATTGGAGGGTATGCAGACTCCAGAATATGGAAGGTCCAGTGTCCATTCTTAGAAACTATCAGTGTGGTCTAATTAACAATGAACTGAGTGAGTAATCTGGCTATGACAGGTTGCAGTTACTCCGGTACGATATTCTCATGAGATCATTTGTATGAGCACATTAACATTGGACTTAACAAATGGCAAGGTGTGACGTTACATTTCCAGGTGGTTCTCTTTATGCCATGGCAGAAGCACATGGGCTACCATGAGTTTCTGTGTGCATGAGTTTGTGAAATATCAGCTACCTCAGTTAACTACAGAGCAGACCCTCCTTCCTTTCCTTGAGATAAGGTGTTCGTCGCTTCGCTCCTATATTCCGGCATAATCCATGATGGAAGTGGGGTGTGGGGTGGGATTTCTGCCCATGTAATTAAGGAAAAAGTGTAACTGAGTAGCAAGATAGTGCCAGCCCTGCTCTGACAACAATGAGGAAATGGAACTGAATCTTCTGCGAAAGTGGATGCAACATTGGGCTGCTTAACACCTTGACTGAGTACCTGGGGGTCTGTATTCGAATTGCAAGAGCCGGATCAGTAATTGATACCTGAGGGATTCATTTAGCTAGTTAGAGCTGTAATCACCAGCTGGAAGGGCTTATTTTACCTCATTGCTTTGAAAGGGGAAGTTATATTTTTCTAAGCTATTTTCCAAGAACTTTGCTATTTGTATTATTCAGAAAGACAAGCAATGGCACGGGCTCTGTCTCCTCTGTCGTCTTTTAAACTTTTATAGGACTTCAGTGCTAGCAGCTCCACAATCTATTGCTGTTGGTACGAGCTATTAGCTGAGTGTACAAAGACTAATAGGTTACATCCATTATATGCAAAGTTTGGCTATCACTAGGAAACAGTGTTTCCTCTTTAAAAAGATAGCTGTGTTTTATAGAAGTCTGTGCAATACATCTACTTTATTGCCCTCCAGAGAATTCTTTCTCTGAGCAGAAAGAGCAAGCAACGGCATGCAAAGAGTTTATAATGACAGAGATAGCCTTTTGATTTACAAGAGCGAGACTTTTATGCGGATTTTAGTGATTGGCTGGCTCGGAAAGAAACATTTGTGTTTTCAAGAATTGCAACAGCGTTTCAGGCAGAGCTGCTTTTCCTGTTATGGCAACATGGTGAAAAGAGAAACCACAGTGGACAAATATGCCTATTGCATTGGTTCATTTCTAGGAGGGATATAGTCAGGATTCTTCCTGAACTCTGAAACAAATAATGTGACATCCTTGCAAGTTCAAAAATGATAGGGCTAAGGGCCAAGCTATATGTTACATGAATTGCACGGGTGCAATTAGCATGCATGTTTTAAAATGGAAATAGCAGCTGCAGGGGGACCAGAGAGGATGGAGAGAATTTAACTATTTCTTTCCTGTATGAAAACTGCCTCCCCCCAAGCTGTTAACTGCATTAGCACCAATGGAAACTTTCTCCTGAGTAAAGAGCAGCCTCTGGGAGGGGAAAATTTTCATTGAGACCACAAAGGGTTTAACACGTCCTCCCCATCCCATACTGTCCCAGTGTTGAAACCTCCTCACCTACCCACAACTATTTAATTTTTTTTAAAAAAAACAGCAACCAAAAGCATACACTTTAATTGCATTCATGCAATTAATGTTGCATCTAGGTTGAACTTGAAAGTCTACATGAATGTGCTCACCCTGCTTTGAAGCTGTTAACTGGGCCTGCCCACAAAAGGAAGACCAGCCAATCAGTACACAGGGGTACTGACAACTGTTAACTGTTTCAAACCTCCATATGAGCCCTGCATCTACCTGGTCTCTTGAAAGGCCATACATGCTTGGGTGGGTGTGTTCTGCATATGTGTTGTAGCACATGGAGCCAACAACAGCCTTGGTACATATGCACATTTCCCCTGCCACAGAACTACTGAGGATGCAGAAGCTCATTTGGCGTTAAGGAGAGGCAATGCTATTCATGAAGGAAATTAACTGGTTCGGGGACAAGGGGCAGAATAACAGAGCTCAGCAGAAGATTCCAGGCCTAAAAGTTAGAGGCAATGTTCCATGTGAATGAATGTCACATAGGTTGTGGTTTCAAGGATTGTATGTGGTGGAGGAATGCACTATTGTTCAACCTGTAAAGATGAGTCTTGAAAACCTCCAAGCTGAGCCAATCTACTGCAACACTGCGTTGTTCTTTTCAAATAAGCTGGATGACTAGTGATTCCTTTAATCTCCCTTCATTAGGTGTAGATGACATTGGGCCATTTAAAAGTTCCCTGACTAGCTTACTTTTCCTATTCCAACAATCATCATGGCATAAAGATGAGTTCTACTATCGAATGGATTCCCACGCCCCGCGTTGCTTTACCTTGGTGATTAAGAATGCAACAAGTATAATGAGTCGAACCAATGATCCATCTAGCTTGGCATTCAAGGAGCCACAGGGACACAATCTTGCAAATGGACTTGGTTGTTCTGGTTTGCATGGATATTATCCATGTTGTTTTCTGTTGCCCTATAATCAGTGCTTTTTTCGGGGGAGGCAGCGCAGGGGTACGCATACCCCTAAACATTTTGTGGATCCAACTTTGGCCTCATTGAGGGGCAGTATTTCAATATGAGTAGGAAAATGAGAGTACCCCAAACATTTTTTTAGGGGGAAAAGCACTGCCTATAATCAACAGATAATGTCAGTAGTGGCCTGTGTGGTTAGGTGGATATTGTACTGGATAATGAAGTTGGTCTGAATAACGTACAAAGTTCTATCTCCAATGGACAAATATTGAGTTATTGTGATTAATTAAAGAGCTTTCTTTGTGACAGGGTGACCTCATGAAATTCCAAGTTATCTAACTATCACAAATTCTCTCTCAAGACTCCAGGTAGCATCCTATATTTGAATTGGGTTTTTTTTAAAAAAAAAACGTTCTTGCCTTCGCTTATGGGCTATACTAAGTCCTGCCTGTTGTTTTTTTCCTGGCTTGATACATTTATTTTAAATGGCTTGTTTGTCATTAGTTCAACTGTATCTTAACTTCCTGTCCCACTCCCACCCTGGGGAAAAAGGGGGGGAAGGAACTTCTTTTTACAGATTACTGCTAACTAAGTTAGAAATACACACACACACACACACACACACACATTTCTTAGTCAACAAGGAATCAATTTGAAAACATCAAAAGAGCTTTAAAAATTCTTAAAGAGACTAAAATAAGCAGATATAGGGATTCTGGGTTGAACCGATACCAATGTTCAGTTTAATGAATTTTTCATAGTACCTTTTAGTTGCTCATTGGCTAATAGCGTAAACTTTGACCAGCTGCTGCTAATGGGGCCTCTTTCTTGAAACTGTAGTTTAATAAATTGCTTTTGATGTTACAATGCAAAAGCTGAAAAACCATTATTTCCCACCTAGTCCTAATACTTTCAAGACAGTTAAATCAATGTTATTTCATGTCATGCTAGGAATCAATAATGATCATAATGTTAAAAAGCAAATTCTATTCCGTTTATGCCGAACGCTTCCTTCCTTTATGCAATGGCCCTGTTGCATCCATATCTTTGGTTGATGCAAACTGGTATTCATCCTACGTCTTCATGCAAATTTATACTAGTTTATGTCTAAACTAGAGAGGTTTTCTTCCTATGGACATCAAAGCTATCAACTGGCAGTTTAGCAACACAGTTTTGCGTATCCAGTTAACGCCTTCCCTGCATTTCTTTGGCTTTATAAAGAACAGAGTGACCCAAACCCATATATCTGAAGTTATTGACTCCCCAACCCAAGTTTGTAAACAGCTGAGAAAGAAAACAGGATGTTCTCCAGGCAGCAAGATGGAGTAGTTAAACTTTTATGATTTGAATGATTGCTGGTTCCTTTTTCTTTTCCCAAACTACTGATGTGCCTAAAATGACTAATACTGATATATGGGCAAAGGCTGTTGCTCAGTAGTAAAGGATATGTTTTGCATGGGGGGAGGAGCCCTGGATCAAATTCCTGACATCTCCGAGAAGGGCTAGGCCAGACTACTTTCCAAGATCCTGGAGATCTTTTGCCAGCCACTGTCAATGAAAGTGAGTTACATAAATAGTTTGACTCAGTATATAGCAGAAGGGCTAATCAACATTTGTATGTGCAAGTAATGTTGATGGACTTATTTGCAATGTTTGCAAACCTCATTATGTTGGTGGTTCTCCATATTGTCTGGACCTTTTCCTCTGTGTGCTCTCAACCTGCAAAAAAAGAGAAAAAGGAGAGAGAGAGCTGCTGGTGGTATGGTGAAAATTGCAACACCTACACTAGACATTCTCTCATACAAATAGTTTTGCCATATGAAGCAGCCTTCATGCAATGGCATTTCAAATGACCATCCATGTGGATGTCTATGAACATTGAGCCTAAGGGAGACAGAAGCAAATGGGTGTTTACTTGTTCCCTTCGCGAGATCATGCAACTTCTCCCCTCAAGAAAAAGTGTGCCTGTTCAGAGGTTAGATTGTCTTTAAAAAAGGAAGGAGCATGGGACATGGCAGCAGTCCTTTAATTTGCATGGTTAGTTTAGACAAACAGTACATGAGGTGGCAGAACTACTATTCACCTGAATCTCTTTATAGAGCTGATGGGGATCCCTTTTCCCCTCTTACATCTTTCCAGAAACCAATGTAATGCAGAAAAGTAATGTTAATGCAAAGTCAGGCTTTCCCCCTGATGTGCTCATCTTTCATATGCAGGGATTTTTCCCCCCCATGGAAAACCACACAATCTTCCACACAGTCCTGAAACACTTGTAACTTCCTCATTAGCCAATTTGTGTGAACTGAGCTCAATACTTCATGTTTGCTGGGTGAGAGCCTAAGAAAGGTGTTACTACATAATAGAACTCCAGTAACTCCTACAATTGGGTTGTTCAAGGGGTGTGCCAGGTGTGCCCAGCCACATTCTAATGTTAAAAAAAACAAACCCAACCACAAATCAATGCAGGCAGAAGAAAAAGGCTGGAATGGATCTGTCGCTTCTGCCTGCCACCTCCAGAGACAGACATAGGCAGAAGCTGCAAATCCCTTCCAGCTTTTTTCCTCTGCCTGCATCTGTATCTTCCCCATGGCTGAGTGTGTCCTACATCCACTTGCCATCTTTTGTGGACAGAGATCTGTGAGGGTGAAAGGCTGCTTTTGTGGCATGAATGCAAGGAAGGAAGGAAGGAAGGAAGGAAGGAAGGAAGGGGAATACCCATCCCACCCTCAACCCTTTAGGTTGCCTCAGGTTAGCTTAGCGTGGGTCTTGCCTTCTTGGCCATTTTTGTGGTTGTTTTGTTAGCTTTTTACTTCTAGCTTGTCCTTATTTGTTTGCCTTGTCATTCACTTCCTCCTTCACTGAAACAAATAAATTATTCCCTGGGTGCACAACCTATTGAAATGCCTCTGACTCCCACAAGCCAGAAACCCCTTAGCTCAGTGGATTGGTTTGCTTCTCATGTAGCTCCTCTGTCATGGAGGTCTCTCATCAAGACCTAACCTTTAAGTGATGAGGGGCCAGAATATCTGAGGATCACTGTGTTCTATGTTATAACTGGGCAAGTGTATCTTGAGGGCCAAGATGGGAGACAAAGTCAATTCCATTGAAAAATTAAGGTGAATCTACCTAATTTGCATTTTCCAGAACAATATGAAAACCAAAGCAAATACATCCTTCAAAATTCACACTTCTCCAATATTGCATTGCAACTCTCCAACCAAGTAGTCTGTATAAGAATGCCTATACTGGTGTAAAGTGTGCATTTAAAAATTGCATGTGAATATTAGGGGAAATAACATACAAATGTGGTTGTTAGGGGAAAAATGCACATTAAAATGCTGGTGAATTTTCCTGAAGAGTTTTTTAAAAATATATAATAATAATAAATCAGACTGATGTAGAAATACGGGGAATTGAACTTAACAATGGAGAGAAACTAAAATGGACAGGGTTCCTCTACCCCAACTGAGACTGTCTGTGTTAGGGTGTCAGGAAATTTCCAAAGTGTGCTTTCAGTTTAGTTGTGTATGTGTGGGTGCACAGGAGAGAGAATTACTCTATAGGTACTAAGAGTCTATAGGTACTAAAATGGATATGCAGTACTGCCTAATCTCAATGATATTATGAAGACCATGGCAAATTAAAGGTACAAGATATTTGAATATTCCGCTTAAAGACTGAATTAACCCCAAATGTCATGTGTATGAAACATATTTTTCCCATTATTATCTACGGGGGGGAAATGTTTGAACAAATACTAACCAAGGGACGTAATAGATACTAGCAAGTTGAAAAGGAAGAGTGATACTAAAAGCGCCTTTTTTACTCTGTGAAGAAAAAGTGAGCATGGAGATTTACTGACATACTTTATTATGAGGAATTTATTCCTTTCTGCCTGCCACCCTCATTACTACCTGTTGTTTCAATGTAAAATATACTTTCCTGATTTCCTACAAACAAGAATTCTAACCACTGCCCTTGCTTTCACCAGAATTAATTTTTTTTCCAATCCAGGTTTTGCTAAGAAAAGAACCAAAAATAATAGAAGTCTCTTCCTCATTGTCCCTTCAGCTATTGAACATTGCTTTTCACTGAACACTGTTTTAATTGTACCATTGTTCTGCTAAAGCCCTATTGTCTGTGTCCTTCAAAACTGTTGGTTATTTAAATGACAAAAAAAAGCTGAAAAGCACATTGTTGTAATTGATTTGTATGTTTGAATTGTCTTACCAGAAAACAAGGTTATGAATTTCATCTGTTGAGACGCAAAAAGAAAAATACTTTCCTACAAAAATAAAGGTTAATAAAGACGAAATAATTATTCTTCTGTGTGTGTGTGTGTGTTTTTAATGTGCCAATGCTTCATTGAAGTGCCATATTGGAACACATAGGTTTATGAGAATGGGTTGAGAAAGCTGATCTATTTAGATTTTAGGGTTTATCTACCCCATCCACAGCCATGTCCCCAGCTATGCTTGCGCCCCCTTTTGGATTGCCACTGTGCGTGCACTTGGTTCTTAGTCACATCCCTAAGGGCAAGACTTAGGGGGAGAAGTTCCGGGCCCCACTTGGCAGAGTGAGCATGGCTTACCACATTTTGAAGAAAGGTTCTCCCATGGGCCATCATGTTACACACCTCAGATAATACAGGAACATCCAGGGCAGCCTCTTCCACTGATCTTAGTACACAGGCTGATTGAAAGAGAAGGTGTTATCTCAGATATTTGGGACCTGGACCATTAAGGAACACAACCTATGGGGTTTATGCTAACATCATAGCACTAAGGAGATTGTTCCATCACGGACCGAGATTGCCCAATGGACTGATCTCTTTTCATTCCCCAGTGTGCTGCTCTGGGGCTTGTTCTGGAGTTGGATCAAGGCCTCTCCTTCCTACTTTCAGCCTCACCTTAATCCCAAGGGGGTCACTGTCAGACTTTATTTTCGTTCAATAAAAAATGCATACCACTTAAATGTAAGCACAACCTTTAAGTGGGTTACAGAGAATATAAAATGCAGTCGTACCTTGGAAGTCGAATGGAATCCATTCTGGAAGTCCGTTTGACTTCCAAAATATTTGAAAAGCAAAGCGCAGCTTCTGATTGGCTGCAGGAAGCTCCTGCAGTCAATCGGAAGCTGTGGAAGCCCCATCAGATGTTTGCCTTCCAAAAACAGTTCGCAAACTAGAACAGTCACTTCCGGGTTTGCAGCATTTGGGAGTCAAAATGTTCGAAAACTAAGCTGTTCGAAAACCAAGGTACAACTGCACTGTACACATTAAAATGGTTTGTGTTAAAAATGCTTAATGTAAAAAAAAAAACACACAGCCAAGTTTACAAAAAATAAAAATGAGTAAAAATCAACAGTTGAAAGGTATACATTCTTTTTCTGCTTTGTCTTCCTGTAAACTCTCCTCGTATCCCTTGGTGAAGTCCAAATGTGGATGGTGTGTTTGTTGAATTACCCTTGTGTTTTCTGTATTTCCTTATTTTGTTCAATATAAGCACATTCAGATGCAGTGCCCGAGAGTAAAGCACTGGTTCTGTGGTGCTAACAAACAAGCAAAATGTTAACTATGTTTGCCTTAGCGTTAAAGCAAAGCAATTGTGGAGTTTGTTTCTGCAAATTCATCTCACCCTTCGCTGATCCAGAAACAGATCAGCAGAGCGTCAGCGACCGATTCCAAAGCCGAGAGCCTAATACATTATTTAGATTTCCAATTAAACATCTGCATGGTAAATAGTGACAAGGCTGGCCTCCCCCACTGTGTTTTTTTTGTTATCTTTACAATAAGGCATGCATTATTCATGTGATCTTTTCGTTTAACTACCCCACTCGACGGAATCTGAACTGCTGCAGCCTGCTTCACGAAGGGGATCTTTGCAACCTTTGGGGATTTGTTGTTGCTGTCTTCGAGTTATGTCCAAGAGCCTAACCCTGAAAGAGTTGCCAGGGACAGTTAAACAAAGCAGAATGGTAGCTGTGCATGCTCAATGTATGACGGAGTACATGCGTGTGCATCAGCAGGCTTGTGTTTTGGCATGTTTTCATGTGAACGTTCAATCCCACAGGCATGAAAGTCATCTTCTCCTGCCACTACCTCCCTGCCAAGCAATGGAGGAGTCATCCATGCACAAGTAAATTATAACCTTGGGTACTATGCACCTCAAGAGCCAAGGAGATTTGCTCCTCAGCCTCAGGCCGTCAAATACTTTGGACCAGCCATTCCAGGGAGGCCTGTAATTCAGCAAAGGAGAGGCTTTTTGTTTTGGCTGTGGAAAGGACTGGCCCAGGAAGGGAGATGGGCAGCATCTAGTGCGGGAATGTTCAGGGTGGCAGGAGAGGATACATTGTTTATTAATATACTTCCTAACTTTCATTAGCAAGTTCCTTTACTTAGCAGAGTGCATTCCCCTTTACACAGCAGAAAACAGGTTGCAAACTCATGTGAGTTTCTTAAGACAATATGCAATTCAATCTGGCTTGTCCAGATTGAAATGTGTTCTCACATTTTCCTAATAGGACCCCTTGAATCCCTCCTAAAAGAATAAAGACACCATAGTCTTATTCATAAGCACCAGAAAGAAAGTTTACTCATGATCAGGCAGAACACAGCTTAAAGTTACAAAAGTACAGTATAAAAACAGGTTTACCCCATAAGGGAGATGACCTGGGGGACTGCTTGGCTGGCAGCCAGCAGTTCATTCCAGGAAGTTCGCAGGACAAAAGGAAGATGGAAAAGAGAGAGAGTGGCAGCACGCCTTGGCCTTTTACCAGGTCTGGAAAGGTCACGCCCACCCACTAGTCACATGCAAGGAAGGATGCTCCAGGCCAGGAGGAACAGGAAGTTTCGACTGGCTGGACCAAACATCCCCTTGCTTGTCCACTCTAGGAAAACAAGGAATGTTGTATTTGACTGCTCCCAGTGGATTACATCCCACATCTAGTTCATAGTAAATTGGACTTTCCAAGTTTTCTTATCAGTGCTGGGAAAATCCACTGAAGGCGGCTCGAGAAGTTCTGTTTACTTTCTAAGCAAGCCAGAAAAGGGCTATCAGGCATCTGACTGCCCTTGGGTAGGTCCTGGAAAAAGGCAAAAAAAGAAAGAAAAAGATATAGCATTATTGACAGTAATTAATATAGTATTAAATTATGTTGCATTTTGCTTTTCAGGATGTGGTTTCAAGTGCGGTTTCAAGATGGTAGATGGGAAAAATTGCTCAGAGGCTTAGACAGAACAACAGGACAGGCAGAATCCCAACAATGGCAATGTGCACCCACAGCCTGACTCGGTACATCACATTCTCAATCAGGTAGCAGAACAGACAGCAACAGGTTAACTCCTCTTCAGGAAGAAGGCAGGGTCGATTGGGGTGGGAGGTTTTCTTCCAGGACAGGAGGAAGCTTTCAGATTCAGTTTTTAGTACCACCTTCTAGAGAAGAACAGGACAGCTCTGTTGCTCCTGATCTACTGCTTAAAGGTAAAGGTAAAGGGGCCCCTGACCGTTAGGTCCAGTTGCAGACGACTCTGGGGTTGTGGCACTCATTTCGCTTTACTGGCCAAGGGAGCCAGCGTACAGCTTCCGGGTCATGTGGCCAGCATGACTAAGCCGCTTCTGGCAAACCAGAGCAGCACACAGAAACACAGTTTACCTTCCCGCCGGAGCAGTACCTATTTATTGACGTGCTTTTGAACTGCTAGGTTGGCAGGAGCAGGGACCAAGCAACGGGAGCTCACCCCGTCGCGGGGATTCAAACCACTGACCTTCTGATCGGCAAGACCTAGGCTCAGTGGTTTAACCCACAGCGCCACCCACGTCCCCTTATCTACTGCTTAGGAATAGCTTATAGGCCTTAGGTCTATTTAGAGGACTTGGCATTTCAGCGACGCCTAACAATCAATGTTCCTCCAATCTGCAGAGTCTTTTGCTAAGAAGGGTAGTGAGGAGATCTCCTCCCAGCAAGATGGCTCTGTGCTCAGCAAAGGAACCAACAGGCTACATCCTGTAATAACATCCCTCAGCAAGGGGACACAGAGAGCCTGCATTCCAGCAAATCCATCCACAGATTCCACAGGAGAGACCTTGTCCACTGCCAGTCGGCAACAATGGTAAGTGAGCATCCATCTTTGCCCCCTTGTTAATTTCTCCAAATTCCCTCACTGAATCAGCAGCTTGGTGGCCACAGCAGTGAGGACTTCGTTCATAAAGAGATAATAGAATTACTGAGTTGAAAAGGACCCACAATGCCCTTGTCATAAGAATCTTTTGTTTTTAGTCAAAAGTTTGTTGAGGAAAGCTTCTGTTGCAGAAGCTGAAGGTCCTCTGAAGGTGCAGAATGGGCTCCCTGGGTGATATCTGGCAAGGCAACACATGCTGGGGAGAAATTGCTCCCCACTTTTGGCTCACAGCGGAGTCAACTCTTCTGAGTAGAGAAGTAACCAGCCCTGACCTACAGAGGAGTTTTGCTCCCAGTTTTTCTGATATGAGGACAAGACAAGAAGCAGCATCCTCTGGGCTGGCAACAAGGCCAGCTCTCCAGCACAGAGAAGAATCCAGTCTGGCTGCCAATTGAGGCATTACTCCTGGGCTAGTCCTGAAAAAAGGGCAATATTAAGCATGGGAGTCCCATTTTCATAGTTGTCACCATACCAACTTTTTTGACCTAGTTCTGCAGGACATAAATGCCTAGCTCAGCAGAGCAGCTATTTAGGGGCAGCACTAATTCACTTACAATACTAAAGTCCAAAATGGGAAGCAGAAACAAACAGGAAACTCTTTCCCCTCGAAAAAAAAGTCCCTGCTTCCTTTTTCTGCCCCCAGTTGACTGGTATCAAGACACTTCACCCAGAGTTTTTTCAGCTGAGTAACACTGATAAGAGAATTTGGAAAAATGGATTTGTCAGTCCATGTCCTTAACCCCTGGCCTACCTGGTGGCAAGTCAGTGTATCAAGTCCAAAATTCAAAGTCCAGGGGTCACTCCACACAAGGAAAGTCTAAAGGTCAGGAAAGGCAGTGCAGGCTAAATCCAGATAAGCCAAGTCCAGCAATGAGGACACAGTCCAGAGTCAAACCTGAAGCACAGTCCCATAGGGGTCCAGGAGCATCCAAGCCAAGGCCCGTTAACATG